GAATTTTTTGGTCAATTTTTGAATTCCCTGACTTTTTCCGGTTTTCCCGGTAGCGTGGCAACCCTGTTATTAATACATGAGCTGACATATCAGGTTTTCTTAATAAATCCAGACTATAAAATATAAATCAGTGAAATTGCTGAAAATTTATATAATCAGTCAGGGTAAACTCTGGAATGTTTGAAAGGAATTTTCAATTACAGTACACATTGTTACAAAAAATTTGCACTCAGTTTATTACTTTTATTTTATGAGTTTCCAAAACATATAATACCAATAAATGTACATGCAAATTAAAATAAAAATACAAAGAATGTGTGACATGAGAATTAAAATCAAATATAATTATTTTTATATTTTTTTGGCACAGATCATAGGCTAATAATGAGATGAAAGTACAATAGTAATTGTGACATCAGATAACTGAGAGTAAACTTTTGTCATCAGGATAAACTGACTACAGACATATGGCATAAAAGAAATGATAAGAAAATTATAATTTACATGAGAGTAGAAGTGATACATTATAGCTTAGCCTTGACATATTTTTGCTTTGAAATCATTCACTCCTTTGTATTTTTTTTTATAACAAAAGGTGAAATTTTTTATCTGGTTTCTGGCAGAAGACGTGTCCAAAAATAAATCTTGTCCAAATATCCAAAAGAACCACAGACATTAATAAAAATATTAAAGGTCTAAGGTAAAAAGGATATGCAGTGAAAAGGTTTAAAGTAGTTCATACATAAAAGAATATAATTGCACCAATACTGGAAAATATTATATTTACTTGAAAATATGACCCCACTCTTTTTATTACCATTTTTCTCTAAAAGTTGGTCAGACATTTTTAAATGGGTATTTTGATAAGTGCAATTGCAGAATGAAAGAAATAAATTTAATCATCATACTACACAGTAAAATTACATTATTGAATACTAAATAAACTGAATGGTTAATTATGGTATATATAAATGCACAATTGCTGCTAATTATAATAAACACATCTATCTAAGCAATTTCAATTTAGTTTTGCATTCTTACAGACATGCATGAAAACAAATATATAGCAATGCATCACTAACTTCTTCTTTGTCTTTGAGCCACAAATAATAGCACTGTAATTTAAAAAAAAAATTCTAAAGGAAGAATAATAAACTAGGTTTCTCTAAATTACTGCAAGATGAATAAATATTCATCTACACTTTCATTCCTTAAATTTGAACCTAAAATGTAAGATGGGTCTTATTTTCGAGTAAGTAGATATATTTTGTTGGATAATCATACTAAATAAATCTCTAAAAGAATATATCCGACAAGACATGGACAGTCTCTTTTCTGTTTAATAGCATTTAACCTTTTTCTGCTTACAATTACTGCAAGCAAGAAAGGATTTCTAAAATGAATCTAAATTTCTCGAATAAGGTTAACTTCTATAATGCTAGACACAATTTTAACTATCAACTATAAAAAAGGTATTAAACAAAACTTAATATGTTCATTAATAGTGTATAAGTTTTAGTCCGCTAGCACCATGGTGCCCGCCAATCGTTTAATGTGTGCCCACTGCTATGTGATCACAATAAAAATGTTTTAGTTTTCAATAAAATTCTATGTAAAAGTCTTCTCATTTTTGATGAAATAGAAATTGCATCCAACGCAAATACCAGCACAAAGCAAAACATGACCAATCTCTTTTTCTAGGTTCATGTATTTATTAACTCTATCCAACTTTAAATTCACCTTGAAAAAATAATAATAAAAATAAATAATAAATAAATAAATAAAATAAAATAAACCCTAGAATTTTAAAGCTTACAGAAATAGCGTAATTGCAATATTTTATTTTAAAGCCCCAATTAATTTTATGTTAAGTTGTATTTTATAGCAGATTTTTTTCAAAAATAGACTATTCTTAAAGCAGCTGAAAAGTGATCAGATAGACAAATTTAGATCATCAAAACATGTCATTGCCAATTATTCAAATAATTGGTACATAATGTATTTAACTTTGCACTATACTTTCCCCCTTACAAATGAAAGGCTTCAATGAGTTTTGATGGAAACTTACATTTAAAAAAATTACTATCATTTAACTATTTTTTAAAATAATATTGGGTGGATCTAATGCAAGGCTGTAACTTTTAATTAAATCAAAATAATGTTACATCTGTTTAATTAAACCCAAACTTTTTTTTGTTCCATTTTTTTTTTTACACAAATGCTATTTATTCTTCAAGTTTTTATTTCTATATGTACATAACCTACCAGCCTTTTCTCACTTCCTTACAACTTTCAAAAAACTTATAATTTAATTCATTATAATGGATTTCAACCTCAAGCTGATTCAACAATAAAAACCCTTGTCCTAGAATGCTAAATAATGATTTAACCAACTCGTTAATTATTCTTTATAGATTAAAAAAAGCCAACACCCTCTAAGGATATGTCATTTATGACTTCAGAAAATGCAGCTTTTTTTTTTTTTTTTTTGGTGACATTGCATTTATCACATTGCAAGCATAACTATAAGAATCCATTTTTAGATTTTACATATAACCAAACTTCTGATTTTTTTGTATTTGAATTAGGAAACATGCATTATATAACATTTAAAGGCTTAAATCTCAATATACGAGCAGTCTGATTATACATACACTTGCTTCACTATAAATTTTCTTTTTACAAAGGTATATAGATGATGTACAAATAAAATGTGCTAAGATGTGCAAGATAAAAATGTGATTTAATTTTTAAAAAATGTTTATAATACAGATGTACAAAAAATTTGAAACTTAATTAGCACGTTAACAAAGACTGCATAAAATGACTGATAACAAAGCAATTTTGAAATCACTCAGTTCTTATAATTTGAAACTGATGCATTATAGTATACATTTATACATTACAAATTTAACCAATTAATAGAATTACTATCTATATACTTTTTATTAAAATTTTAATTGAAAACACATTCAGAATAATTAATACATGATGAAAAATATGAGTGCAGAATTTAACAAACTGATCAAGATAATTTATTAATTTAACAACAATAAAATTTGAATTCACCTAATATATACTTAATACATTAACAGATTAAGAAGATGGGATACTGAAGAAAATGTATAAATGTATATTTCTATATTTTTAACAATATTCTATTTACAGATACACACTGCATGTGTTGACAAAATAGTGCGAACAAAAATTGTAAAAACATTTTAATTAGGATATTAAACATTTGATTGCAAGGTTTAGTTTTCTTTTTAAATTAAAATGTTTGATTATGGCATTTTGAAGGCACTTAGAAGTACAGTATATTATTACATATAACCATATTATAAAACAATAAATTTGCACAGATTGGAAAGATGCCCAAAAAGTTTTTTGGGTGTAGGAGGGGTATTTTGAAGCATGTGCGGATATGTTAGCAGTGATTATATATTAAGAAATATTACGGCAAATAGGCACTTTAATATAAAGACTGGTAAGAGAAATATTTTAGTACATATTGATGCTAATACTAAACTTTTGCTTCTAGGCACAGGTATATTAAACACCGACTATTTTTACCACTGAAATAGCTATTTAAACTTTCCTATTTCCAACTCTAATATGACACTTAAAACACATAATACAATAGCAGCTCATTACAATCAAGTCCAGATTATCCAGGGTGGATTAACTGGGCCCTGCCAAAAAAAAATTACGTTTTTTATTGCACATCCCACAATGGAAAAATTACTACCCCTAACCATCAGTATAAAACAAAATTATCTATGAAAAATACGAAACGGAAAAGAAAAATAAGTGGGATTACAGCAGTGATAGCAGATGATGTCATAGTCTTGGAAATTGTTTTTATCTATTACGTTATGCACTTTAATTGTACATAACTTTGAATATACAAACATGATGCAATTGTAAAAAAGTTTTAACCAATTCTTTTATTCAAGTTTGAACTTAATGAAATAGTTCATGCTCTCTTGTAAATATTAGGACTCAACGAATCGGCCCAAACGATTATGGCTGCTGAATATTGGTAGTTTGACCTAGGCCAGGGATTCCCAATGGAGTAGGTATGGACCCTGATGATCAATGACATTTTAAAGGGGGTCAGTCTGTGATGACCAAAGAGTTGATTCGGGGGGGGGGGGGGGGGGGCAACCACCGAATATGCACCAGAGTCATACTTAAGATCTTATTGGTTACAGAAAATGTATGAGTAAAATTTAGAATTATTTGTTTATTGATACAGTCAAAAGTCTTTAATCCGGATTCGTCGGGATTTCGGCGATTCAGGATTATCGATTTTTCCGGATTATAGATTATCAGTTTAAATCTGGTATGATGGCATGTAGAAATTATAAAACTAAAAATATGAAACTGTAACTTATGAAATGAAGAGCAATTATGATCTAAAGGGTATCAAAATTTACAACAACAACAACAAAAAAAAAAAAAAAAAAAAAAAGCGCTTAATATTTATTTGTTTACTTTATTAAACATTTCTTTCAACGTGCGCATGCATAAAGCATACATTACGCATAGTCGAAATTAGAAAATTGCAACCAGAAAACAATTTGATTTGTATTCATGATATTTATAATGACGAGGAATTTGATTTAAATCATATCAAAGATGTACATCGAGATGAAATACTACATTTAGTAAGGAATTATAAGCCGAATAAAATAAAAACATCTGCTCTGAAGATAAGGATAGTGCTGACAGATCAAATTCCAGTTCATTGCGCACCGCGACGTCCACCCCCCCTCCCCCGTGTAGAGCAGCATGAAATTTATAAACAGATTTCAGAATGATTAGAGAAATAAAGGAGCCTTTATCATTTTTTCCCAGCAATTCCACTTTTTGTTTGATGGACATTGAAACATGCTTTCCCTTTGTAGATCCATCATCGGAAATTCTATTTGACATAATCGAAAGTTTCAACTTACTTTTATAAAATTGCTATAATAATCTGCAAAAAATAATAAGGCGGATCCAATTTGAAGATTAAGGTACAACGCAATCTGCAACATTAACTGAAATAGATAATTAGATAATTTTAGCTTAGCTTATACTGTCCATTATACATTAAATGCGCATGCGTCAACGCATAATACGTTGAGGCATGCGCAGAAATAGCATTAAAGAACAGTATGTAGCTTTGAGGTCCGGATTAACGACTTTTGACTGTATAAGGTTTTATTATACAAATAAATCAAGTCTTATTCAAAACACATAAGCTGACTAAACTTTGGAATTTTTTCAAAACTTTTGTTCATAGTCTTAGTCTAACTGTTATCCAATTTATTTATGCACAATCATTATTATTATCTTGCATGCTATTATATATTAACAGAGAAAACTGTAAGGGGGTCGATGAAAAAAACTATTCTTTTAAAAGAGATTGAAGCAAGAAACAAAGAAACAAGTTGGGAATCTCTGCCCTACGCAAATAGGCTTGCATATGTGTTTTCCTTCCTATCTAAAATGAACATAAGCTAGTTTTCCTTAAACACTTCTACGATAGCATCCCTATCATTAGGCAGATGCCTCCCCCCCTCTACATTGTCATAGCTAAATAACCTAACCTTGTGAATACTGTTCTTTAATGCTATTTCTAATACAGTTTCCTCATTCTTAAATGATGTTCATTCCTCATTATTTACAGTGTTCTTTTTGTTTTATTTTGAACACTGATTAAATTCACATAATTGAATGAGCATTCACCAGATTAAACTGCTTAAAAACACAAGTAAGTAGTTAGCAGCATTTATCTATTAATTATAAAATGTATTATTCCTCTTTCCTGAGTATTATTAACTGGAACTGGATTAATTGTGATTTTGAATTAATTGTGGATGTAATTTCCCTGGTTAATTGGAACTGACTGCATATGGGGCAAACAGCTCAGAGCTAGAAAGTATCTGATCATACAGGAGTGAACTAATTGATGAAAAACACAACAAAGATGTATATATTTTCCTAAAAAGGGCTATAATAATAATTAAAAAACAATGGTAAAAACAATTTTCTAAAAAATATAAAAACACGGACAAAAATCAAATGGCACATGTGAGCTACCATTCCATGGCTGGCTACAACAATAACAGATGATGAATATTCCTAGTACAGTGCATTTTGTTCATTGAGTAAATGTTGCATAAAAGCAACAACAGAGAAAAAAATTCACATAACAGTCACAAACATTTCCCTTCACAATAAAAAACATTAAACATAAAAAAAAAGATTCAACATAGATTACAAAATATTCACAGACACAGACCATAATTAAAGAATCACAAATGCACACTTGAAAATGATATCTTCTTTTATAACTTGAGAAGGCACGAGATTAAGGCACAAAACTTAATTATTGTTACTAAAGGAGTGAGCCGAGATTTTTAAAAATAATTTGAGCTCATGCACAAGATTCTTGAATATCCTATAGAGAAATGAAAACTGTGTTTAGGAAATCATTACTCATTAAGAAAATTAAACATTCATATGTTTTATATATAATGAAAACTTCTCATAATATAAGGGATACTGTGTGTCTATAACACATATGCATTAAAACATTATAAGAAACTTCATGTCTGTAAAATATTTTCTCACAAATACATTTGCAAAAATTAAATTGTTGACCCTAGAATTAAGACGGTAGTATGACAGACATGACTTATCTGCCTTAACTGATATAGTTTTATAATTTTATGCATAAATTCTATATAACTTGTCTTGCAGGTGCCAAAAAATATCCCAGTTTGACAATCTGTTGCCAAATTTATATTTTAAATGGCAGACTTTTGGATTATGGTTTAAATTCATCATCTTTATTATATGAAAAACATTTCTGAGGTATGAATCCTTTTGTTGTGCATTTGCCCAAGTTTGGCGATTAATTATAATAACAAAAAGTTTGATTTGGTAATTTGAAAATTTCACGTGTCTTTTTAACAAGTACAACAATATTTCTGCTTCTTTTACCCATTTTAAAAACATATCTTGCATTTTAATCCCTAAATTAAAATTAGTATTCTAACTTTATTTACAACTTTGATACAGCAAGATAACTTTTGTATGAAAGCATTACATTATGCACAATTCTAAATGCTAAGTGTTGTTACAATTATAACTAGCACAAATAAGCTAGTTTTACAAGACGTATATTAATTTGTCTCCAGAAAAGAATTAGTAATCAATGAGAAGTTGAAACTCAATAGAAAAAGCTGGAACCATCAGAATATTGAAACATCACTAATTGCTGGCTCGTAAACTAAATTTACTGATTCTACAAATATAAGGTCTTTCACTTTACCCAAGTCATGTGATTTGGTCTACAAGCATACACTGCTTGCCATACGGTTACAAAGCCCTCAAACCTATTCATTCTAGCTTATTTTCCTTCACTAGTGGTCACAAGCTCAGTACAAATATCTATGTTTCTATAATTATAAGGAGCATATTAATTGTCCACTAGCTACAGACCACTGAACATCATTTTCAGTTCTATTTAAATTACATTAATGAAGAACAGAATTTAAGCTCTGAAAGCGATATTATTAAATTGGAAGAAAATGTTCAATGGATTAGGTAGCTTGTTTAAGTACATAAAAATCTTTTTTCCTATTTTCCCTATAACAATATTATTTTTATTTTTATTATTTTTTCCAATTTTAAAGTTTTACTCGAGTTAAATTCACAGATGACTATTCTTTATTATATTCTTTAGTTTTTCAATTTTGAAATCATACTGTAGCTTAAATTTAAAGTAATACAGCAGCAAACAGGCAGCATAACTTAATGCATCATAAATTTGAATATAATAGTAAATTTAATACATTAAAAAAATTAATAAGAGAAGAGATAAAAGCTTTCAGCAGCACTAAAATGTAGCAATTTTATACATTCCAAAATAAACTGAGGGGAAGATAATATTACACTTCAATGATACATGATGAACCCCTGATATAAAATCACTGAAGTCCATAGCAAGTTATGAATGGATAAGCTCAAAACTCTATACTGCATCAATAAATATAACAACATATTAAAAAATAAAATGATCAAATAAGTTATGAATTATAATCCCTATCGCTGATACAATATTATATTAATGATCCCAAAATATGCAGAGAAAATTTTTGCATAATGAAAATATATAAACCAATTATGCTTCTTATATAAAACATCAGATATAGAGAATATATGATAAACTTTTAACTCACTGTATGACCATGCATTTTACAGCCATTTCATACCCGATTCTTTAGTTAAAATAGCTTCAACATCAGACAAGATATCAGCATTGAACTCTTCCTGCATAAACAGAGCACATAAAATTAATGTATTTTCAGTTAACATTTAAACACACAGATTATAGGGCAAGTTTAATATCTATATTCTTCATAAGAAGGAAGATGGATTCTTTAGTTCATGACAAAAGTACTTTTCCGTTATTGCACCAGTCATAAATTTTGGCAGTTTTTTTTTTTTTTTTTTTTTTATTATTGTAAACAATTCCTAGTTATTAGAACAGTTTATAAATACACACTATGATAGCCCATATGTTGCTATCATTGGATCTCGACCTGCATATGGCTTCTCTTTCAGAGGTGCCAAAAAGTATGGGAGGTGCATAACGGAAACGTACCCATTTAAACATTACAGGTAAGGTGTAAAGATGGTTTCACCCAACCATCGAAACTAATCCTGTAAAAATTTGAAAATATAACACTGATTTTTGTTGTATGACTTCTACATTAATATCTGTTCATGCAGCTGAGGATGATGGTTCTGTAAAACCATCGAAAAAATCCTGTGAAAATTTGAAAATATAACGCTGATTTTTATTGTTTGATTTCTAAAATAATATTTGTTTGGGGTGTTATTGTATCTCAAGCTTAAAGTAGTATACAGCTTTAGTTTATCACATAAATGAACTCTGTTTTGATAACAGGAGATTTATCTAATAATGGTAATTACAGAAAAATAACGTGAAATGAAATTGATACACACTTGTAGACTTGGTACTAGATCTTCAGAATCCATATTTTCAGGAACAATACCCAAAGCTGTTCCTGGAATAGGCTCTAAATTCAGTTCAGCAATGTCTAACAATACATCTAAAATAGAAAGGAGGATTGCAAGTTAGGCATCAATTATAAAAACAACACAAAAAAATATTTATATACAGCATTGATTAAAGCTTCGTATTTGAAAATTCAGACACTGGCAAATATTACATAAGTATCTGCTGTTTTATCAGTGCTCATAGTATAAAACCTGCTTTTACAAAAAGATCTAAATTTGAACTTTTCTCAATTAAGGAAATAAATCTCTGAAGAGTTTTTGCTTTTACCTCTCTTCCAAATAAAAGGAGTTCAATACTTGCTTTGAATGCAGTAAAAGTGTAATTAATTATGGTTCAGTATACAGGTTTAAACCTTTGCGGCACAGTGTGTCTGTCCGGTTTGGACAAACCTAAAAATTTCCTTCTGTACGCAGAGAAAAATTGAATGAAAAAGAATTTATAGGTTACTATAGGTTACTCTGAACCTTCTTTATTTATAATAGATAGCATCTCAACACAAACCAGTCCATATATTTTAGCCATGTTTAGTTTTTTAAGACCCTAATTTTCAAAGAAATCTTCCAGATTTTTTTGAATTCCAGATTTGGAATAGTTTGAAAAAAAAGTTCTATGTTATATTTTTGGCTGTATGGTAATCTCCTTATTCTATATTAGTTTTAAATTTTTACCTTGAAATCTTGCCTAAAATCAAACGGCGAAGCCTAGGTGTGCCCAGACCGATAATCTACGACAACTGAGAGTCTGTATTCTTTGTTTCTCCGCATCTCATCGGTCAGTTCATTGACAACAATGCTCGTTTCAGCACTCTTTTTGAAGCTCTATTCAATCAGTATGCCCATTTTGGGCACACCCACAGAATTAAAACGATAAGTACTATCTTCACAAAATTTTACTTGTGTACTGCTCTAGGCCTAATTAGACAGCCTACCTTCCCCCCCTTTTTTTTAAATCAAAATTCCAACTTTAAAAGGTAGCATGTCAGAAAGAGTTAAAGCAATTTTTATAAGCTGCTTTGATAACTCCCAAGAAACTGCAAAATAAGGAAGAAACTAAGCATACTATCTTATTTTAAGCCTTTTATATCAGATTAGGCATAATAAATTTAAATTTCTGATGCTTGGGCATTGTATACACAGTGATCTGGTGAATAAAGATGACAAGAGGACAGGAACAGATGATTCATGTTCCTCCTACACTACGTGTCTTTGACCTCCCATTACTAAATCTCCTAATGGTTCAATTATATTATTTATCTCTTCTCCTACACAGCCCACTTCCTGATATAATGAATGTGTTTATATCACATTTTTGAATCCACAATAGCTTAATGCATAATTGTCACTGTCTTCACATTTTAAAATGCATCCACTCTCTTTTCAATTCTGTCTTTCTAAACAATGCTGGTCATCAAAATTAAAGGATAATGATAGAAATAAAATGTAACTGATACTTAATGAAAAATTATTAACAGAAATTTGTACAAAAGCAGAGAAATTAACATAAATTACAATGCCTGGCAGTTGATTATTTGCAAAATATTGGAATTAAAACCAAATTTATGGAAATTGGAAAATAATGGAAAAAATTTTCTTTACCAAGGTGTATGGTCATCTTGGACAAATATGAATATCTCATACCTTGATTTCATAGGTTTTACCATCCTCCTGGGGAAGGTCCAGGGAAGAATATAGCACACTGAAATTTGGTGCCCTAAGGCATCCCATACATGCTCAATTGAGTTCACGTTGGGTGAGTAAGGTGGCCAATCCATTGGTGTGATATCTTCTGTTTGCAAGTGTTCTGACATCACATATGCTCAAAGAGATGGAGCACTGTCATCAATTTGCAAAACCACGGAACTAGCAGCACCCCTAAACAGTTTAAATTGGGTTCCAGTTGCAGAACCTCCTTGAAATACATACAGCTCAGTGCAGCCATTTATCACGATTCCTCCCCAAACCATTAAATGGTGGTCATGGAAACAGGATTTCACATAAGGGAAGGCAAGTTGCATGTTCCTTCCTTTCTCCAGATCAAAACATGTATAGAATGACTGTTCAGACTATATATGTGGGTCATCAGTAAACAATAGCTGGGCCCAGTCATCTTGGCTCTATTGAACAGTAGCACCAATTTAAACATGCCCTCCTGGAAGATGGAGTGACTGGGACAAAAACCATTTGTTTTCTTGCATATAATCCAACCTCATTAAACTATCATGTAGCAGTAGAACGGCTAATGAGTTCCTTTGGAAGCCTGAATGTTTAAAACCAAATCTCTTGTGGTCGCTTCGTGGTTTCTTCCGAGACGACAATGACAGAAAACCATCTTCTGATGCAGTTGTTGTTCTTATTCGCTCTTAACTAGATTGTCTATCAACTAATCCAGTGCTTAACAAGGGGGTCTAGACTCTTGATGTGACACTTTGGCGGATATTTAAATCTTAGGTGACCTCCATTTTTGTTTGACCTCCCTCAATTCTATCAATTATTCGCCAAAAGACCACTGTTCTTTAGCTGCTTTCTTCTTTACTGTGTTTTCCATTTTAAATACTAGAAAACCCCCTTTTCAATACTTTGAAAGTGCTTGTTGCTGAGACAAGGACATTTGCTCATTATGTGAAATGTAAAACCAGTGATCAGGTGAATTTAATTTGGAGCAAAAAATCTGAAAAGTTGTGGACAAATAACTTCCTGCATAATCTCCATAATTTTAGAATTAATTAATCCTATAAATTCAAAATTAAAAAATAGGAGAATATACATGCAAAAGTAGGGAGTTTTCTAAAAGCAAAAAATTTGAAGAGAGTCATGATTACTACAAACGAAAAGTACTAACATGGATCAGAAAAGGCTAAATAACTTCATTAACAAAATTAACTGGCTTCTTCAATTAAAATATACAGTCCAAAATCTGAAATCTGGACTCATAGGGACTTCGGCGTTTCTGGATTTTTCCGGATATTAGATCATCAGTTTAAATTTAGTTAGATGGCATGTAGAAATTATAAAATTAAAAATATAAAATCGTGATTTATGAAATAATGAAGTATTTATGATTTAAAGGGTATCAAAATTTACCAAAAAAAAGCTTAATAGTTATTTGTTTACCTTATTAAACATTCTGTTCAATGTAAGTTGTTTAAGTTGCTTCGTTTTTTGCGCTAATACTGTGTCTTTAATTCTGTAGACAGACATAATCTCTTGTTCAGTTACATTCTTGAAGTCCTGTAACAGCTGTTTTGAGAATTCGGACTAACTTATCAATTAAAATTTTCTTCTTATCACTAACTTCTCTGTCACTTTCTTCACTAACATTTTTTAGCATATTTAACTTATATGTGTAATCATCGACAAGCGTGATATAAAAGTTACCGTACTCCTTTATTATTCAATTACTAACATAAAGCAATTTTTTAAGCATAACTACATGAGTCATTACTCAAGTTGTCATGTTTTGATAAACATCTGGTGATGATAACAAAGTATAATAAATAATGATTTGCCAGGTTGGCGTCAGACCAATGATGCATCTATATGGAATGTTTCGTTTTGAGATGTGTACCAAGCAGATATGCAGGTACAGGGTTCGTAGCCACATTTTAGTAGAGGTATTTTATGGATCTAGAACCATACTACAGATTTTGCCATTCATTATTTGATAGATGACTGAGAAGCACTGTCATCAAAGTGAAAAACTTCTTTTATATCATCTTCATTTATTACCGCTTCTCCACATTTCTTTAAAATGCAGTAATTGGAAAATTTCACCTTTGTTTTGCGATATCCGAAAACCTTTAAAATTAGTGGCTATCATCATCAAATTATTTAGCTATCCTTCACTATACGTATTTGGCTATGCATCATGAGCTTGGTGACTAACGACAACTTGTTCCGTTAAATTTTATCTTTCTTCTATTGAGTACTGAGACAATTAAGCCTGAATTGTATTAGTTCAGTTATTTATTACACTCATGTCTATTTCTTGCACGTGCTTATCAGAGTTCTAATAAATAAATTCCCATATTATACTTAACCCTTTAACTGTCAAATTATTTTGATGATTTGGGTACACAAATTGTCAAATTTTTTTATTGAAAAAATCAAACGTTTAGTACAAAATAAAATATACTTAAGTAGTTAAAAATTGATATTTTGAAGTACATGGGTAAAATTTTTAAAGTTTTGTAGCCACTGCATATTTGCTTGAGGCGGCTGCCACTCAAAATGGCAGTTGTAAAGTTCGCTTCTAGTGGAGCATTATTTTCTAAAAATGAAAAAAATTAATTATTTTCTAAAAAATAAATAAAAGTGAATACCTATTAGTAGTTCAGTAATTCAGTCTTGTGTGGTACAACTGGAAAAACTTTTCCAAGCACAAACCAACTCCACAATAACTATTCAGAATCGTGTTTCCTTTTTTTTATCCTTTTCCCATTTTATCCTTTTTCAAACAACACACTTTGCACTGTCTTGTAGGCTCACGTTTCACAGGAGTAGGAGGAATATGGAATATAAAATGTCGTTCAGTAAGACGGGCAGGGTTATCTATTGTAGGTGGTCTGCCAACATTCTTTTGTCCAGAAGCTGCATCATCATATTTATGTAAAATATCTTCTACATCTTGGATTTGAAATTCTAAAAATGTATCCCAACTACATTTTTATAGAGCAAATATGAGTTCCAAAGTACCTTGTATAGTAAATGTAAAAATATCTTTTTATAATATTTTTTCTGACGTTTTCGGATTGTTGGATGATAGGATATTTCCTAATCACAGTGATCTACACCACCCATAGTTAGACTGTAGTCAGAAACAATCTTCGGCTTGAGTATATCTTCATGTTTTTTATTTTTGAGGCTGACCATGGAAGTATCATGAATACTGCTCATCAAACACACATCCTTCATCTTTGGTTGAAGAATCTAAATCATATATACAGTCAAAAGTCATAATTCGGACACCCATAATCCAGAATGATCTATAATCTGGACCTCAAAGCTACAAACTTTCTGCGCATGCGTCAACGCA